AGAAAGGCATAACCACAGACACTTTGAATATATAATCACTGACATAATAGTATTAGTTGAGTCCAAAAGATTAATGTTCCGTTTGGGGCTGCAGCTTATTAAGAAGCTGTTGTGCAACTGCTGAAGAATAATCTAATATTGTAAAAAACTGTGGTGACCATTACAATTTTTTTTTGAAAAGTAAGACCGCAATTAGAAAGCTCTCATCACACTTAGACATGAGCGGTGGGAAAATGTTGGCTTCAATGAGAACTTTTTGAAAGAGCTGCCAAAATACAATTTACCTAAACGACCAAAACAGCGGTGCGGTGCCACACCGTTGCACCAAACGGAGCCTAAACTGTATATCTACCCAATCTTTATTGGTGTGTTCTACACAACACGTATCACTCAAAAAATCTCCTTTTATCCGAAAGTCTTTTCAAAAAACTTGGAAAACACCCTGTATATCACTTGAAACACTTCCTTTTATCCTTAAATTGTGTTTTCTATTTTGTATATATTAATAGCTTTGATATATCTCTTGAATTTCGAGATAGTACATAGCATTTATGGTAAGTAAATGTTGATCATTCAGTGAACAATCAGGATAGTTGTTCTTGCCATTCGTTAAAGCCGATCAGATCTTGCTCCAGTTCTCATCTGCCTCACTTTCTTGCCTCAGGACCTCCAAGCCGAAAACCAAAGGAACTGACAAAGCTAACAATTGAGGTACTCCATCCACTTTGATAAGACATTAGTGACCTCTCTAATCTTGAGCAACACTGAATCTCAAAGTCATACTCCAATAGCTTATATAGCTACCTTTGATGTTCCTCAATCACAATACGTTCTTCTAGCATAAATTTAAGGTTGCGCTGATCCATGCGTACTCTAAAACACAGCTCTAACAAATAAGGTTGTCAATTTTGAACAACAAACAAAATTGCCATAAGCTCCCGCTCGTAAATTGACTTGAATCTAGTTCTCATTGTTAGCACTTGACTGAAATAAGTGACGTGTTGAAACTGCATGAAGACTGCGCCTAAACTATAACATGAAACATTCATCTCTACAATAGATGGTTGGCGGAAGTCATGTGATGCCATCAATGATACACTCAGTCATGATCTTTTTTAACTTCCCAAATGTCTGGATCACTGCTTTTTCCATTAAAATTTATCATTCTTCAATTGCTCCATCAACAACCACACTATCGAGTTGCAACACTTAACAACATTCCGGTAGTATCCTTTAAGTCTCATAAATTCTCTCAACCCTTCAAGATCTTAAGTAGTAATCACTCAAACATAACTGTCATATTAGATGGATCCGCTGACACCCCTGTAGCTAACACCACATTTCCTAAGCATTCCATCTTTGGTTGGACAAACAAAAGCTTAGATTGTTGTGCCACTGTGGACTTCGAACTTCTCTGTCGATGTTATGTCAACCGCATAACCACGAAAGACAATTCTACATGTGCCCGCAGAGAATTATGGAGGAGCTTGACTTCTTCCGTTGGGCTGACTGTCTGGCAGATTCTACTGCCTATAGTGATTGAGAATGGATAGTATTCCTGAAGGACGACGTAGCTTGTGACATACGCCGACTACATTTTAAAAATAATATTATTTTATTATTAAATATTGTTTTAATAATTTTTTTTCTTTATTTTAGTAACCATGACACTGTTCAGTGATGTGTATATTTTATTTTTTGTACTTTTATGAAGTGAATTTTTGCTTCTCAATTATCAAATCTATTGCTATGACTGTTCTGTTACAAAAATATTACTCAATTATCATTATCATGTGGACATAATGATCATTTGTCCAAAAGCAGTTGCCGCACAACTGTTTTCAAACTGCAAAAAATAACAACCAACCAACTTATCCACAACAACTTCTGCGTAGTAACTTCCTGTGGTAACTGCTGCACAACAACTTATTGATAAAATGCAACTGACCCAAACATACCCTTAGTCTCCCCAAAAGACTAAAACCATTTCATACCCAATATTACGTTAGTGCTCCTTAAATTCAAAGGAAGAAAATCCACCACCACCTTAATACCTTGCATCATCCCAAATCACTCCTTTATAAACTCTCTTGCTCTTCTTCACCTATCCCGTCCCTATCATTACTCCAAAAATTTTTCGTGTCAACCATGTCAAGCCCCAATTACTTCACTACTTGAGTGACGAAAAGTTGTGGGTGACCCCACTATTTACAAACACCACTACGTCCTACTCTTCAATTTGTTCTCAAAATTTATTAGTGTTGTTCAGCGTCAACCTTATCACTGAATTCAATAAGACTTCTACCACATCCAAGTGAGGGTGTTCCTCCTCCACCACCACAACCTTATCCATTTCTTTGTATTCATCCTCGTCACATATTGTGAGAACCTATAAGGTTTCCTTGCAATGTTGTCCTTGGCAAATTAGTCATCACATAAAAAACATAACATCTTGGCTCATTTTTCTTGAATATGTTACTCTGTAAAACATTGAACGTCGCCCACTGTTGTGTCCCATTATTCCCTTTACACGAAGCATCCCTCTTGATTCTCATTGAGCTTTGGGTATCTTCGTGGTTGCAACATTTTGGTACGAAACTCCACTTATGTTGCTTCTATTAGCCCGTTTTATTGCATTTTTATCTTTAACCAATCGAGAAAATTTCATAATTTTCCTCAATCCTTGCAGTCTCACCAAATGAAGCGTTGTTCAAATTTTTGGCCTCAACTCTTTCATGAAGTTTCTTTCCAATAATGATTTCAATATTTCTCTCAAACGAATAGATAACATTTAAAATTTTTCTCTATAATCCATAACTAACCTTTCCTGGACCCATGAAAAAAATTACTCGTGCAAATCCGCATATCACGTGGTTCTGAAACACTCCAAGAATCGATCACCGAATTCTTTCCATGTTGTGAATAGCTAATTTTATTCTCTCCATTGATTCCACGCTAGAGCCTTCTCTTTCAAACATAGGGTCATCACCATAAATTTTTCTTCCTCCGTCAGCCTATTAACAACAAAGTATCTCTCTACTCGATAAACCCAATCATAGACATCATATTTTTCGAAGATTGACATCTTTAGCTTCCTTATACGTGAGTCTCCTTCACAAATTTTTCAACTCAAGCTCACTCCACTTATGCATGAAGCGGTGCCTGGGTTCCCTTCCTTAGCCCATATTTTTTTTGGGATTTTTACATACATAGCACCCAAAACCTTCATATTTACTTATCTCACGCCTAAACTTTCATAATTACAAACATCATATGAAAAGTAACACTCATTATCATCTTTTAATAGTTAAATCCATATTTTCATCCATGAGTAAAGTGTTGTGTGTGAAAATGAAAGTTTAGGTATGAGATAGGTAAATCCATAAAAATTGGATGCGACACTCAGTCAAGGTCTCACCCATCGCAGTTCTCTTTTTCAGGTCGAAATTTTTCAAATCGATCTTCTTTAGCCTCGAATCACACGTCGTCTCCCCGTTGCGCCTGCTGCCGTTCGCTCTAGACCTCCTGATGCCACACAGTCCCTCCCTAACACATTCCTTCGACTCGGTCATTTCCAGGCCCGAATTTATCGTGTTTCGTCTGCTTCACTCGATTCCAACTCCTTCACGCATTTCCCTCCAAGTAATGTTACTCGGGTCCACTCTCGTTTTGACCATTGGGTATTGTGTGTTTCCTTTTGATACCATCGCTCGGATCCGCTTCCGACTCCTTTGCTCAATTCCACAACCATGAATTAGCCTAAGGCAGCGACTCAACGCCCTACATAACCCTGATGTTGTGCAATTCCTTTCGATTGGTGTCGTTTGATCCCATTCCAGATGCTGTCATTCAATCCCGTGGTAGGCAGTGGAGGGTTTGCATGGAATTCAATGGTCTTTTTCATTATTTCTTCCACGACCATGAATCGCTCATCCATGGACAAGAACCTTTGGAGAAAAAAACACTCCTTCATTCCCGATCTGATTTTGCTTCTCTTCCTCTATTTTCTCCTCCACGACATCGGCTTTCTTGGCTTCCACTACTCCCAGGTACAGCTCTGATACCACTTCGATTGGAACAAGACAAATTTCTGCAAAAATTTGGGCAAAAATAATATATTCTATTTTCCCGGTACCTAAACAAAACAATATATTCTCACATACATAAACGATAGGCCTACATTTCGAGAGGTAGGCAAGTCTCTCGCAAACCCTAACTCCTAAAACTCTAAATAACAATCACATATTCTAACTCTAATTATATTAAGTCCTATTTATACCAAACAATAATAAGTAATATATGATTGAATTGCCTTTTTAGCAGTGCGCCTAAAACAAGTCTTCAAATTGTTTTGTGGACTTGGCGTGGCAGAAAACTCCATAGATGCTGGTCTAACAGTTTTGTTCTATTTTGAAGATGTTCTTTCTAAAATGGTTTGATTTTTTATTTTACATTTATCATTATTTACATGTACTCTGCTTCAGGTCAGATTAGCTTCAGGTAGATCATTTGTATTCTTGATATCATTGCCGTGTATAGGTATTTGGTCTTGCTCTACACAAGAACATAGCATCGATTGCCTTTCTCTAAGGTTTTCCTGGAATGTGATTCCACGAATATTTTCTTGAAAAATTTACATACTTAGCACACAATTCTTGTATTCACATATCTCACACCCAAACTTTCTTATTTACATACATAGCACTTTGTTGCTATGAACTTATACTTGAAAATGTGTTTTAAAATATGCTAATAGTGCTATTTTTTATGTGATATGAAAGATTTGAGTGCTATGTGTGTAAATATGAAAGTTTAGGTGTGCTATGTATGTAAATGCCCCTGTTATCATATCTTCTGTTTTTTTTTTTTTTTTTTTTGCCCGTTTATTTTGTTATATGGTTGATGCCATATTGAAGAGCTACTTGACTTTTTGAATACCCAATTATGTGAAGTTTAATGTCCATCATGTAATTTTATTAACAGATCCATTCTTGTTTCAGGTCAAGTGATTACCGGCAGCTGGGACAAAACATTGAAATGCTGGGATCCCAGAGGTGCAAGTGGGCCAGAACACACTCTTGTTGGAACATACCCACAGCCGGAACGGGTTTACTCTCTTTCTTTAGTTGGCCATCGCCTTGTAGTAGCAACTGCAGGAAGACATGTAAATGTCTATGATTTGCGAAATATGTCTCAACCTGAACAACGGAGAGAGTCATCCTTGAAATATCAAACTAGATGCGTCCGATGCTATCCTAATGGGACAGGTAAAGATCTTGCTATGCTTATGTTTCTTAGCATAATGCTTGTTGATCCAGAAGATTATTTACTTTGCCTTAAGCTAGACGCTTAACTTTTAGCCTAAGTCTAGTACAACTTTAGACTATGTTCGTATGCAATTAGCATGAAGTTTAGATGATTTCTGGCAAAGAAAAATAGAATTCAGTGCTCAATTATATCAAAAAAATTTTTTTCAATGTATGCAAGTTATAGTTAAGTTTATGTAATCAAGTTCAATTGATAACGGATTTTAAATATCCTAGAATTTCAATAAAAATCTGGGAACAAATAAAATTAAGGAGCAAACAAACTATTTTTTACTAAATTAAATTTTTGGGCATTTACATAGCCCATTTTTTACTAAATTAAATTTTTGGGCATTTACATAGCCCAATTCCTTTGTATTCACATATCTAACACCTATACTCTACTTTTTACATTTATACCACCTTGCCTATTTACAGACCGCATAAATCTTTTATATCACATCAAAAATACCACAATTTCAACTTTTAAAAGTGAAAAATGCCTTTTTATGCATAGGTAAGGTGGCATATATGTAAAAATTGAAGTAAATACACAGGAATGAAGTGGTATGATGTAAATCTTAAATTTTTTGACCAAAATCAAAAGCATTAAACTAGCCCTAACATTTACCAAACCGAGACCTTGTTGGATGGTTTTTGTCTGCGTGGTTGATTATGTAGTGTCCATATTCATGGGTGTCCCCAATTTTTCTTTGGATTATTTTTTGAAAATATTATAATACATATTTTGGTACTGACCTTGTGTCACATTTAACAAGATTAATGTGATTATTTGTGTACGTTTATGATGCTAGTGGCTTTCTTGCGTGTACACCAATTTTGATACTTCAATTTTGCTGTTTAATTTGAAATTCTCCCAAATCCAAGAGCATCCTTTTTCTATATTTATTTTGCCTCAAAGCGTAATTTAACATAATTTACCACTTAACATGCTGTGTTATTAATTATGTAAATAAGCGGTAAGGCTGTGTATCACATTGATAAAAGTGGGCTTACAATTTAAAGTACAATTGTAACATTAATTATCGGAATTTTAGAAATTTCTACTTTTAGTATCTTCTATTTTAGTAGTTTTAACTTATAGAATTATCTGTTGTTGGTAATTTCTATTTTCTTTTCTCTAGAATGAGGATTTTGTGGCTTTTCTAGTGTGGTGGCATTTCCCTGCTATTTATCTTGTAATTGTGTCTTAGAAATTGAGGAGGAATAATTAATTTTCTTTCTTCCAAACTTACATGATATCAGAGACAAGTTTTCAGTATTAAAATCACGATTAAACCTATTAGGAGCTTGCGATGAGGACTAAATTTGCGCCTTCGTTGCTGTCCTGTCGCCATCCCCTCCCACGACTGAGTTCTGCATATAGATGGGTGCGAGGAAGTGATAGGTGAACTGAAAGTTGGCCTTGCGACTTTTCTTTGTTGCTGGAGGAGAGTCCACATGGAATTGAAGTTTCCAGTTGGATCGAATGCCACTTCGATCGCCCGCTCTTGCTGGTAGTGAGTTGGTTCATTCGAGGAGATGAAGTTCTTAAAAAAACAACACATGAGAATAGAAGATACTAAAACAATGGAGATGAAGTTCTGAAGAAAACAACACATGAGAATCAGTTGATCTAATTAGGGGTAGAAAATTGTCATATGCAAATTAATGTTTACAGTCAAGTATAATTCTGATGACTCTCTAGAACCCGATAATGCTTGACTGGTTGTCAAGAGATTCACTCAAACCTATGAATTGATTATTCAAAGAAATTTGCCTCAGTCGCCAAAAATAAGTTTTATAAGTGTTTTTTTGTCACTTGCAACTAATCTTGATTGCCCTCCACAACAGTTGAAAATAAAAAATATATTTTTCAACGAGGGCTTAGAGGAAGAAGTGTACATGGATGAACCTCCAGGATTTAGTGAGAATTCAACATAAAGTTGTGTAAACTAAAAAAAATGTTATATGGGTTGAAACAGTTGTTGAAAGCGTAGTTTAAGAGATTTACATTGTTTGCTAAATGTCAGAAATATACTCAAGGGCAAGGAAATTATTTAATGTTCTTTAGACATTTAAAGAATGGGAATATAACCATGTTGATTGTATATGTGGATGATATAATTCTCTCCGAAGATGACATATGAAATGAACCGGTTGAAGAGATCCCTATTATCAATTTTTGAGATCAAGGATTTAGGATCTCTGAGATATTTTCTTGGCATGGAGATTGCCATATCGAAGAAGAGAATTGTTGTTTCCCAACGGAAGTATGTTCTTGATCTTTAAAAGAAAATTGAGATGGGTAGTTTTAGGTTTGCAGATATTTTTAATGATCTCATTCAGATACTAGAAAACGAGAAGGAATCTGACATAGTGGCACAACTCAATATCAAAAGTTGATAGAATAGTTGATATACTTATTACACACACAACCATATATCGCCTTTATCGGGAGTTTCTTAAGTCAATTTATGCATTCTCCCTATGAGAAATACCTTGAAGCAGTTCATGTTATTCTCAAATATTTTAAAATTGCACAAGGGAAGGCTTACTCTTTCAAAAGATCACACAATAGGGCATAGAAGCATACACTGATGCAGATTGGGCAGGCTCAATTGTTGGGATATCACCGTCCAGATATTGTACTTATCTATGGGAAAATCTGGTTGTATGGTGAAGTAAGAAATAGAATGTGGTGGCAATGAATCATGTCAAGACAAAATATCAGGCTATGACTAATGGAGTATATGAGATGTGATTGAGAATTCTTGAAGAGCCGCGAATTTCGATAAACATGCCAATGAAGTTATCTGTGACAATAAAGTTGCCATAAGCATTGTAGGAAATCCAGTGCATCATAATCACACAAAATATGTGGAGATTGATAGACACTTCATAAAAAAAAAAGATTGATTGTTAGTTAAGATTTTTGCATGCCTTTCACTCTAACAAAGCAACAAATAGTGGATTTCTTCACCAAAGGATTTTTCAGAACTAATTTTGAGCTCCTTGCAAGCAAGTTGGGCATATTTGATATTTATGCTCCAACTTGAGGTTGGTGTCGGAATTTTAGGATTTTTGCTTTTGTTGTATTCTATTTTTAGTAGTTTCTAACTTTAGAAGTATCTATTATTGATAATTTTTATTTACTTTTTTTTGGAATGGGGATTTGTGGCTTTCTTATTGTGGTGGCCTTCCCTTGCCATATATCTTGTAACCGAGTCTTAGGAAATTGAAGATGAATAATTAAATTTTCTTCTCCCAACTTAATACATGCACTTTGTGGTTGCTTTGTAGAGCTTGCTCAGCTCTGTCCTTGTCGAAAAAGGCCAGTTCATTGGTAGTTACTGCTGTGTTTTGCTCATTACATTGCATGAGTGCCTTTTTGCTTGTGTTGATAACACTTTTCTTTGTTAAAATTTGACTTAAAATGCCTTGGATCATTTCATAATTTTGATTTGTATGATGTATGCTACATAGTATACTGCCTAATATTATTTCTCTTGATATGTGCGCTCACTTAGTTGAAACACATGTAATTGAACATTAGCCGTTCACATTGATTTTCATCATTTACTGTAATTTCAGACAGATGCTCCCCTCTTGTGCTTGTTTGGCTAACCTGATCTGTGCTATGTGGTCAGGAAAAATTATTCTATCCGACCACCGCATGTTCTCTGCATGCGGTAGCAA